ACAATGAATCATGGAACACTTCATCTAGAACTAATGATGTAATGTATGGGGATTAACATAAGAATAAAAAAAAAGAAATAAAAAAAAATAAAAAAAAAAGAATGTCAAATGCCAAAAGACCTATTATGTATCAGGCACTGACACAATCTAATGGTCGAGAAATAAACGCAGTTTGGTTAGAATATCACAGGTGTGTGTATGTACTAAGACAAACCATATGGAACTGCCACCATTAAGTCATTATTTTACCAGTTAAATGGAAAATTCATATATCTCAGCCTGAATATGTACAAGGGGCTGAGGGTGAAGAAAGATGAAAAGTTTTGGTGGAGAGGGGCATGGGGGCAGGGCACACATGGCAGAGAGAGTCAGAGAAGCCTTTCCAGATGTCTCTGCTTGCTTTACACTGAGCATTAAATGATGAGTAGTTTACCAGGCAGATGAGGCAGAGAACTGGGATGGAGGAAGGAGGACCTGCGCGGAGAGGGAGCCAAGAAGAGAAGTGGAAAAATCATTCCAGGAAGAGTAGACAGCTTTTTTAAAGGGAAAAAAAAAAAAAAAAGCAAACATAGTATCTTCTGTAACTATAATTTTAATATAATGGAAGCGTTACATTTACAGAAAAGCTGGAAAACCAGACTGAACATCTAGTCACAAAAAAGCCTACAACATGGGCGGAGAATTCTCTACCTTGAATGGAGCAGGTCTAAGGATATGATTTATACTTAAAACTGTTAACCACAGCATTGTTTTACAAAGTTTTTTTGAATGACTTCATGCTTAATGGGGAGAAGAGCAGGTTAATAATGTCATTTTACATCATAAAATATTATTTGATTTTTAAAACTTACATTTACAATAACTTTGTAACATTTAACAACTAATCAACGTTTTAGCTGATAATCTCAATGAAAAAAGTAATCAACAAAACTGCACATACAACATGATCGACAACTATGTAAAAAATTATGATTAGAAGAAAGAATACAGGGGCACCTGCATGGCTCAGTCAGTTAAGCATCTGCCTTCAGCTCAGGTCATGATCCTGGAGTCCCAGGATCAAGCCCCACGTCGGGCTCCCTGCTCAGCAGGGAGTCTGCTTGTTCCTCACCCTTTTCTCTCCACAACCCCCCACCTCATGTTCTCTCTCTCTCTCTCTCCCTCACTCACTCTCTCTCTCTCAAATAAATAAATAAATCTTTTTTAAAAAAACCAAGGAAAAGTACTACAATACTGAAATGTTAAGAGTGACCATTTCTGAGAGGTAAGTAGGTGATTTTTCAAAATTTCATTATGCTTTCCACACTTTCCAAGTTTTTTTCTCTTTTGAAATGGGCAGGTAGTTTTATTTTTATCATCATGGAAAGCAACTAAAATAATGGTGGCAAAATTATCCTCAGGTGGCCTTTATAATCAACAGACAGAGGCAAGAGCAGAGCCATTGAAACTTCGGGTCTTGTAGTACTGTGATTCTTTATACTCTCTCCCACACAGTGCTAAAAAACTACCAATTGAGTCATTGGGAGAATGTTACCAGGAAACCTATCATTCAAATAACAAACCAGCTTTCGAATTGGCAGTGTTTCTGCTAATTTAGTAACACAACAACAACAATAAAATACCCATCTATCTGAAGTAATTTGCCTCATGTCCTACTAGGTCTTATAAAAAAAAAAAAATGAGTTCACACTTCCTCACGTGGCTATCACACCAAAGGGATTTATAAAGATGTACACCTGTTGTTTAGCACTTGGAGCAAGGCACTGGCAGAGGAGACAGCTTCATCTCACCCCTAATGTATCTATGCCGCATTAGCCCGCCCCAGATGTGAAAATTATGTAAAAACCCACAGACCAATAGTCGTTGGGCTGTGGCCCCTTTTCTGCTAGTCTATCTGAGATCTATTGCGGAAATCAAAATGAAGCACCTAGATGTGGACTCTTGAGGGACATCGAGCAGGTGGACTCTGCCCCCCAGGCCAGGAAAATAAGCAATAAAACCCTTCTTAAGACTAAACACACTTAAGAAGATAAGGAGATACCATTTTCATAAAAAAAGATGTCCGGCGGAGTGATTAAAATGTGCCCTACTAACTAATTGACCGTAAAACAACTGGTATCCTAATAAATCATCATTTTCCAAAGTACATATAAAAATGCTATTTCACAATATCTCCCCCACCCCTGTTTCCAAATTCATCCTTCACTATCTCAATCTCCCCCACCCTGGGATCCCTCTCCCACTTGCTGCTTGTATTCTCCCTGTGTTCTCAAATAAGAAAGTGATTTGAATTTTGATACCTCTTATTCTCTGCACCCTCACCTGGCCTTCTATACCCCATCCTGCTTCCCACGGAATCTACAGATGAGAGCGGCATATGGATGAGGACACATGAAATTGTAATTGAGTAGCAATAAAAGGGAGTTAGGGAAGTATACAGTATTATTACTGAGGAAGTGCACTCAAACCAGAGATCAGAAGATGTGCAAGGGGCAATGATCGATGAGGTACTGATATGGGACACTGTCCTCTTTGCATGTGAAGGGGTCCATCTACCCATTTACATTAAAAGTCCTTCACAGCTGAGTCTGGATTGTACTCCTCTGCAGCCCACAATGCCCAGTACTCTCTCTTGCAGATAACAGATGTTGAATTAATATTTTCCTTATTCGAACATTTTACATGGGGAACAAATGCCATTTGGGTAACAATATAATGTGATTTCAGAAATGAAAGAATGAAGCTAATAAACAAGCGTTTACTGTATCGCTAATCTGTGTCCACCGCTGACTATTGCTGTGGGCATTACACAAAACATAAGATATCACCTTTGCTTTTCAGGAACTCAATAAAGGCAGACAAGTTACTTCTTAGGAGCTAGCTGATGATTGAGTAAACTTTTTTTTTTTTTTTATTAAGTAATCTCTGTACCCAACATGGGGCTCGAACTCATGACCCCAAGAACAAGAGTCATGTGCTCTACCAACTGAGCCAGTCAAGTGCCCCTTAAAATTAATATTATAATTATCGTAGGGTGCTTACTTCAGGCATTTCTGCTATGATGTATGGATCCCAAAGCTGTGATGGTCAAAAAAAGTCTTCTTCAAATTGACCAAAAAGGAATGCAGACAACCCAGGGTGAATTAAAGGTCTAAGGGGGAAGCATCGGAAACAAAGCAGCAATAATACGTGCTCCTTCTCCATTCTGAAATTCATTACATTACTGAGATCAGAAATCCTTCTAGGGCGCCTGGGTGGCTCAGTTGGTTAAGCGACTGCCTTCGGCTCGGGTCGTGATCCTGGAGTCCCGGGATCGAGTCCCGCATCGGGCTCCCTGCTCGGCAGGGAGTCTGCTTCTCCCTCTGACCCTCCCCCCTCTCATGCTCTCT